CGATGAGCAGAGCAGGAAACACAAGAAAATAGACTTTCCTAACTATGCATTTTGATACAGAAAAGCAAGTGATGTGAAGAATTGTAGCGTTTATTTTTGTTATAATAAGGGAAATCAACTGTAATAATGGCATCATTATTAGTTATCCGTGTAAGAGGAGAACCCATCCAGCCAGCTTTCTTATGTGATAAGTTTGTTTGCCAATTTTTAAAAATAAATATAAAGTAATACAATGTGGTTTAGATTCCACTGAAATAGGTCATGCAAGCCCTGCTTCTTCATCCATTTTTTTGATTGGGCATGAAGAATGTGTGGCTAGACTCTTAAAATACATATGTATATCACACCTTAATCCAATTAATTCTCACAGCGTCACTGGCAGCAATGCGAGCAGAGATTCAGATCAATTGGCATATTTTGTTTCCACCTAATATCTCTCTAGAGTTCACTTATAAGTTCTTCTTTATACTCCAACATCTCCCAGTATTTCTAGCTCGTATTGGTGGTTGGAACCAAATACAGAAGGACTACATAGAGAACCCTAGAACAGTACTGACCTCCGTTCACCAGGTCCATATCCTCCTCTAGGGCTTCCACGTCTGCCATCATACTCATCCCTCCGGGATCGCTTGTGGGAATAATGGGGCGATGAGCGTCTAGAGGGAGGAGAGTGACCACCTCTACGATTGCGGTAGGGAGGCGGAGGAGGGCTGGAGCTGGGGCGGCTCCGCTTGTGGTCACGCTCTCGAAGCGGGGGAGGCGACGGGGACTGGTTACGATCAAGGTCCTTGCTACCACGGCCACCTCGCCTATCGAAGTCCCTTTCATCCCTCCGTTCCCGGGAGTCCCGGTCACGGCCTCGTCGTGGGTGAGGAGGAGGAGGAGGTGGTGGTGGAGAAGGCTCGTCCTCGTCGGCAGACTTGGCTGGACTACGTTCACGACGGCGATCTAGGCCTTCGACAGGCGCCTCCATGACTTCGCCCATAGATAACTGCGCAAATTTGGAGTTCCCGAGCTCTTTGTCGTTGCGGAAATAGGAAGTGCGAATTTGGGGCTAGCTAATGGCGCGACGCTTTTAACACAAGGACCATCCTGTCAGACGTCCTAAAAATGGCAACAACAACTCAGTTAAATCCCACAATCCCACAAGAGTAGGTTCTGGGGAGAGTGTGTGTACGCAGACCTTGCTCCTACTCGAAAGTAGAGAGATCCATAGTTGCAGTGTTTGACTAACTGCTACTTCATTAATTAAAGAAGCACAGATAGTTTAGAGATCCATTTTGATTTATTCCATCACACCCCAAAGCCAAAAATGGTGAAATTTTGACTCCATCGGAGATGATGGAAATGTCCTAAAAATGGCAATAGGCTGCAATATGTTTACGGGCTTTTTAATACATTTGGTGCTGGAAAAAACATTATTATGATCCTATTAAAAATATATAAGAATATTTACTTTTCATATGTAGACTTTAGAATTATAACACTAGGATGAGTTGATGTGGTCATTTTTGTTTTTACTCTTTGATTGTGTAAATTAATCACCGAGTAACCAATTCTAGACTGGGTCTAGGATTGTTTACTGAATTCAAGAAAGTAAAGAATAATAAACACAAAGGTAAATCGGGAGGACTGTATGTGAAAATACTTGTGGTCCAATTGTTATTAAAATATAGTAAAATCCACGGGAGCTATTACACTCAGAGAAAAGAATTCGAATCCCTCCATTTGAGGGTTACATAGGTATTTATACGAAGCTAGGGGGACAGAGCGCCACGCATTCTCGTCAGGCCACGTTCCTGGGTGATGCGAGGTGATTGCCTCTGTCTTTTAGTCGCTTGTCTCATCCCATTATTTCCTTGTCATCTTGCTAGGAAGGTGACTTCTTTGTCACGTAGCGTATTGGATAGAGTGTGTGAGTATCTTCGGTGATCCTTCGTTGAATTTGGCCGCTATCGTCCAACCTCCATTGGACCCTTTATTGCCGACACTTCCCAGTCATAAAAAGTATACCGGTTAGATCTATCCCTAGAGGATTTTATGGAGATTATCAGAACAAGTTTCATTGTTTGACGAGTAGAGTAACCGAAGTGTACCGGTCGACTTTTTGACATCGACCGGTATAAACCTTTGTCGTTAAGGCTTCCTATTCCAATAATTCATCGTGTGACATGTCAGACCTTGTGGACCCAACCGTGAACCGGTCCTTGATGGAATACACCCATCACTCTTTATCTCTTTGGACGTACCTTTGTTTTTTAACAAAATTAATTAAATCATTCTTTTGATCTAAACTAATTTAACCTTAAAATGGCCTACAACACCTATGATGCTTCGTTGGTAAAATTGATGATTCTAACCACTTAACTCTCCCCCTAAAACCCACATACCCCCTCTGCCCAAATCGGCGACCAAGGGGGACAGAGGGGTCAAATCAGCGATATAAGAGGGCGGGGAGGTTTGGGAGAGAGTTAAAGAGTATGAACCATTAATTTACCAACGAAACACCTTATGTAATACTCAAAAATTTCATGTTTCTAATTTAGAGAAAGTATTTTGATGTTAAGCCTAAATAAATACGGAGTATTTCTTACCGTTAGATAAATGAACTTGTACATTGGAAAAAAAATGATGTCACTAAATAAATAATAGTGGGGGGGGAAAGAGCTCACCCCAATAAGAGCAATATTGTAAAATGTGAAAGTCCTGATGCATCATCGAGACCCCAATTAAGTGTTTGTTCTTTAGGACGTGAACTCTTAACTTCCAGTTCTTTCCAGTTTCTTCCAGTTCTTTCAAGTTTCTTCCAGTTTCTTCCAGTTCTTCCAGTTTTCTCCAGTTTCTTCCTGTTCCTTCCAGTTTTTTCCAGTTTCTTCTATCCAATTATATTTATTTTCTTCAAATTCTTTCTACTATCTGACAAATCACCCTAAAAAATATATTATTATTATTATTATTACTATTATTATTATTACAATTTTTTAAATTACAACTTTTATGTTCATAATTATAGTTTATAAATTATTTCATTTTTTTATCTCACTATTTTTATGATTTACATTCATTATTTTTTTCTTCAACTTTTTAAAATGAATAATACCATTTTTTTGTATTAAATTAGGAAACTATTTAAAAAATTATGCTTAAATAGTTATATAGAATATGTTTTAATCTAAATTTATATAAAGTAAACATCAATATTTTAATCTAAAATATAAAATATGGAATGTGGTGGGGAGTACTACATTATGAAAACCAATAGAAAACTACATTTTGAAAAAGAAAAAAGACACAAGAAGTGTAAAATGAAAATTCAACTAACAAATAATAATTTATATCAACAAGAATCAGAATGAGAATAATTTAAAACCACACATAAAATTTTTTAAAAACTTTTTTTAGATTTTACATTTTATTCTAGTTTTTTAGATTCTTTTAATTTTTTCCAATTTCTTCCAATTTCTTCCAGTTCTTTCCAGTTTCTTCCAGTTTCCAGCTCTTTTTTCCCATTCCTAAAGAACAGGCACTAAGAGTATCAAGTGAAATTTGCCATGAAAGTAAATACTTCATCTTCTTTATCCACCAATTGTGTGGGCTGAACAAAAAGTGCACTATATATATGTGTGTATATATATGTGTGTGTGGGTGTGTACACACACACATATATATATATACATACTCCCTCCGTCCACTTTCATTTTTGTCCACTTTCATTTTTACACATCATCCAATGCACTTCTTTAATCTATTTTATCTTGTAATTTGTATATTAAAAAATTATACTCCCTCCGTCCGGATTTTAAGTACCCATTTTGACTTTTGGTCATTTTTATTGGGTGTTGACTTTGGGAAGGAAATGTCTAAAATACCCTTATCCCCTTCCCCTTCCCCTTCCCCTTCCCTCATCCTTACCCTCCCTCATCCTAAGCCCACACAACCACCGCCACATCCCAATCGCCCCATCGACCCAACCCACACCACCACCGTCACCTCCACCCGCCGCACCTCCACCGTCACCACCAATCCCTGACTTGAATGCCTGTAATTGCTCCAACTCCATTGCCGCCCCAACTCCCACTACCACCAGCCCCACTGCCGCACCCAGCCTATCATCACCGTCGGCTCACCATCGCCGCCGACACCATCGCCGGCAACCCCGCATAAATAGATNGACACCTCCCAAGCGCTCCATCGACCCAACCCACACCACCACCGTCACCTCCACCCGCCGCACCCCCACTGTCACCACCAATCCCTGACTTGAATACCTGTAATTGCTCCAACTCCATTGCCGCCCCAACTCCCACTACCACCAGCCCCACTGCCGCACCCAGCCTATCATCACCGTCGGCTCACCATCTCCGCCGACACCTTCGCCAGCAACCCCGCATAAATGGATTTTCAGATTTTTTAGATCTGAAAAAAACAAACGAGATCTAGCAGAAAAAATGACAAAAAGAAGAAAAAGAAGAGGGGAAGAGAGAGAGGGGGGAGATGAAGGCTAGATCTAGCAAGAAAAGAAAAGGAAGAAGGAGGAAGAGGAGGAAGATAACGAGGAGAAGAAAATGAAGGGGGAGAGGAAGAGAAAAGAAAGATTGGAAGAAGAAGGAGAAGGAATGAAGAGGAGGAAGGTAACGAGAAAAAGAATGGGGAGAGGAGAGAGAGAGAGGGGGGAGGTTACCTGTGGATCTGGGTTCTGGGTTCTGGCCTGGCCGAGCGAAAGAAGAAAATAAAAACGAGGAGATAGGATGAGGAGGGAGGGGTAATTTAGGAAGATTGGGTATGAAAACGTAGACTGGGAACTTTATTTTCGGACGGAAAAAAGCGTAGACTGGGAACTTAAAATCCGGACGAAGGGAGTAGAAATTAAATATTAATAATCTATATGTTGAGACAAATCAAACAAGATCACACATAACTATATTTAGGTTTACAAATTGAGAGAATTTGATGAGTCAAAGTGCTTAGATAAACAGTTCTAAACGTTAAAAGTGGACAAAAACTAGAGGAGAAGAGAAGACACCCGCCTCTGAAGAACCAGCGGACCTTGTCCCTTGGGTGGGTAGCCTTGGGGCTTGTTTCCACGCAAGAGTTTACTCCTAACCCGTCAAGAAGCTACTTGTCCAGTTCTCAATACCATTCAGATCTGAGCGATCTTCTTCCTCCCCAATGGAGAACGCTTATGCCAGATCACTACCCGAGGTTCTTGAGTTTTTCGGAGTGGAATTATCTAAAGGTCTTACAGATTCACAGGCTGCACGACATGCTAGATTGTATGGAAGAAATGTGCTGCCTCAAAAGAAAAGTACCTCTTTCTGGAAGCTTGTTCTGAAGCAATTCGATGATTTGCTGGTTAAAATATTAATTGTAGCTGCCTTCGTTTCGTTCTTTTTGGCATTGGCTAATGGAGAGACAGGGTTATCGGCTTTCTTGGAGCCTACTGTTATCTTGATGATATTAGCTGCAAATGCTGCTGTAGGGGTAATCACAGAAACAAATGCCGAAAAGGCTCTTGAGGAACTACGTGCCTACCAAGCTGATGTTGCTACTGTTCTTCGTAACGGCTGTTTTTCAATAGTACCAGCTACAGACCTTGTCCCTGGGGATATTGTTGAAGTCAGTGTGGGCTGCAAAGTTCCAGCAGATTTGAGAATGATAGAGATTTTGAGCAATCAACTGCGTGTTAACCAGGCAATTCTTACAGGTGAAAGCTGCTCCGTAGAGAAAGAGCTTGATGCAACAACTACTACCAATGCAGTGTACCAAGATAAGACGAACATCCTTTTCTCAGGCACTGTAGTGGTTGCAGGCAGAGCAAGGGCTGTTGTTATTGGAGTTGGTTCAAATACTGCTATGGGAAGTATACGTGATTCAATGCTAAATACTGAAGAAGAAGTGACACCATTGAAGAAGAAGTTGGATGAGTTTGGAACTTTCCTTGCTAAGGTCATTGCGGGTATTTGTGTATTGGTTTGGGCTGTAAACATCGGTCATTTTAGTGATCCTGCTCATGGCGGCTTCCTCCGAGGGGCAATACACTATTTCAAAATTGCTGTTGCACTGGCTGTTGCTGCAATTCCTGAAGGGCTTCCTGCAGTTGTTACCACCTGTCTTGCTCTTGGAACAAAAAGAATGGCTCGGTTAAATGTGATTGTCAGATCCCTACCATCAGTAGAGACCTTAGGCTGCACAACTGTGATTTGCAGTGATAAGACTGGCACTCTGACAACTAACATGATGTCTGTGTCTAAGATTTGTGTGCTTCACTCTGTGAGTCGTGGACTGTTGAGTACAGTGTTAGTGGCACAACATATGCCCCAGAGGGTTTTGTGTTTGACAGCACGGGTGTCCAGCTTGACATTCCTGCACAGTCTCCTTGTCTTCTTCATATAGCAATGTGTTCAGCTCTTTGCAATGAGTCTGTGTTAAGATACAATCCTGACAAGAAGGCTTACGAAAAGATTGGTGAGTCAACTGAAGTAGCCCTGCGTGTATTAGCTGAAAAGATTGGTCTTCCGGGTTTTGATTCCATGCCAACTGCATTAAATATGCTAAGCAAGCATGAGCGTGCATCCTACTGCAATCGTTATTGGGAGAGCCAATTTAAAAAGGTATCATCCTTGGATTTTTCCCGGGACCGCAAAATGATGAGTGTACTTTGCAGCAGGAAGCAGATGGACATTATCCCTTCTCCAAAGGTGCTCCAGAAAGCATACTTTCTAGATGCACCAAAGTTCTGTGCAATGATGATGGTTCTACCATTCTTCTTTCTGCCAATATCAAAGCACAGCTAGAGACGATGTTTAATAGTTTTGCAGGAAAAGAAACTCTAAGATGCCTAGCTCTAGCCTTGAAACGGATCCCTATGGGCCAACAGTCTCTCTCTGTTGATGATGAAAAAGACCTTACATTTGTTGGATTGGTTGGAATGCTTGACCCACCAAGGGAGGAAGTAAGAAATGCCATCCTTTCATGTATAACTGCTGGGATACGTGTTATAGTTGTCACCGGAGATAACAAGATGACAGCTGAATCATTGTGCCGAAAGATTGGTGCTCTTGATCATCACTTTGGCAATTTTGATGGACTTTCTTCTTATACTGCTAGCCAATTTGAACAACTTCCAGCATCACAGAAGATAGTGGCGTTGCAAAGAATGACCCTTCTATCCAGGGTTGAACCATCTCACAAAAGGATGCTAGTTGAAGCCTTACAGAATCAAAGTGAAGTGGTTGCAATGACTGGAGATGGAGTCAATGATGCACCTGCTCTCAAGAAAGCTAACATTGGGATTGCCATGGGATCAGGAACAGCTGTTGCAAAGAGTGCTTCAGATATGATTTTGGGAGATGACAATTTTGCATCAATTGTTGCGGCTGTTGCCGAGGGAAGGGCTATATATAACAACACAAAGCAGTTCATTCGATATATGATATCTTCTAATATTGTGGAAGTGGTCTGTATTTTTGTGGCAGCAGTGCTTGGAATACCTGACACACTTGCACCCGTCCAGTTACTGTGGGTAGATTTGGTTACTGATGGCTTGCCTGCCACTGCTATTGGGTTTAATAAACAAGACTCGGATGTTATGAAGATAAAACCTCGCAAGGTCAATGAAGCAGTTGTTAGTGGGTGGTTATTCTTCCGGTATCTAGTTATTGGAGCATATGTTGGGCTAGCCACTATTGCAGGATTTAATTGGTGGTTTATTTATTATGATAATGGGCCCAAACTTCCGTACGGTGAATTGATGAATTTTGACAGCTGTTCAAGAAGGGAAACTAGCTATTCTTGTAGCATATTTAGTGACCGGCACCCATCTACCATTTCAATGACAGTGCTTGTTGTTGTTGAGATGTTCAATGCACTGAATAATCTCAGTGAGAATCAATCCTTGCTTGTCATTCCACCATGGAGTAATATGTGGCTTGTTGCATCAATTGCTCTGACAATGCTGCTGCATGTACTCATTCTGTATGTGCAACCGTTGTCTGTTCTCTTCTCTGTGACACCACTTGGTTGGGCAGAGTGGACCACTGTTTTTTATCTTTCATTTCCTGTAATTATAATTGATGAGATGCTGAAATTCTTATCCAGGAATTCAGGCATGATGAGATTCATGCTCAGGTTCAGGCGACGGCCAGATTTACTCCCTAAAAGACGAGAAATTCGTGACAAGTGAGACAAGGGACAGCTTACTTGATTTTGTGAGGCCATACATACTTTTGTAAAGTTATTTGAATTAACAAGTTTGGAGTCAGTCTCCCAAGAGTGATACCAACTTTCACCTCTTTTCTCACAAGAAAAGAAAACAGTGATGTGCAACCAGTGTCTTCTCTGTCATCATAGGTGGTCCGGTGGCTCTTGGGTGCCGCTCCTACTCCTAGCATTTTTTCGACTTATATCTAATGATGAGTATTTGGCAATTACTTCGTCTATCTCAACTTATCAATTTATGTTTGTTTATTACTCCGTATTATTCATGTGGCTGTCAAACTTTAAACTTTTTTTTCTTCATTTTTGTTATTTATTTGATAAAATGATATGTTCATGTCATATATATATATATATATATATATATATATATAAAGAGTAATTTTTATTAAGACTAAAAAGAAAAGAGTACAAGGAGGGGAGGACTAGACCAAAGCCCCTCTAGAAATGCATGAAAGAAAAGAAAATGAATGGAAATCAACATGAGTGAAGATCATTCCCAGATAATAAAACCGGGGTGCTGATCAAAAGAAAGGTTTCTGGGCATTATTTTCTTTGGTCTTTTCCCATCCACTCCAATTGGACCGACAGGACCAACATACCAAAAGGGCCCCGAGTAACTTTTAGTAGTAACAATTTTCTCCATTGTTGTTGATTTGCGACTTGGCCAATATCGGGTGATCTCGCTCACTGTCCCAACTTCAAGGTTTGGGTCATAGCTTCCAGTTTTGACTGTTCTTGGTGCATTTGGCCTCTTCACCGCTTTTTTGCTACGCCTGTTTTGGACTTCCTGGAAGTCATTGGTTTCCTCTCTTTGATGTGATGTCTCCCCTTCTTCATTGTAGGACCTGATTTCATATTGTTGTCCTTTAATGTCAAACGTGTGTAGAACTGGTCCAATTGTAGCCGGGTCAATACCTGCAGTGTTAGTTGAAAGGGGAGGAAAGTTTTTGTTGCCAATAGGATCAGAAATATGCTCATCATTTCCTGTATTTGAAGGACTCAATGTGCCATCCATCTCTTTCTCAAGAGAAAGAGTGTGTGCATCACTGGTGGCTTCTAATGATTCTTTAGAGAGGACTAGAAATTCATTTAGATTGATTGAAGTTTCTGCTGGTCCAGAACTGTGTTCTTCTTTACTGTTTGTAACATGACACTGTGTGCCATCCAATGCTGTCTCAGAAGACAGATTGTGTGCCTCACAGCATTGCAGTTTATTGTCAATTAAGAAAGAGGTGGTTTCCAGAGTAGGGGCATCATTTAGGGCATTGGCAGGGGCTGGGTTAATCACCAGGACAGTGGTATCAACTGTTTTGGCAACTTCCTCAGCCTCACTAGGAGTATCAGTAGAAACAACATTAAGAATTGGGGCACAATCATTAGAAACAGGAGACTCATGAGCTATAGCATCTCTTCCATTAGCTGGAGCTAATGTGATTGCCATGGATTTATCTGGGGCCATTATTTGAGTATAACCAATGTCAGTTTGATTATCAACTGAAGTAGTGGCTTTCGTAGAAACAATTCCAGTGTTGAAAGTGATTCTATAATAGGGCATGGTTCAGGAGCAAATGTATTGATTGGCCCATGACGTTTTGGCTCAATGATAGTGATCTCTTCTTCTTCATCAATTGAGTCAGCTTGGTTTGGTTGCAAAACACTCTCAATCCTCTCTTGGTTTGTTAGGGTCACAGCTGGTTTAGGAGCTACAGCTAGGGCTGTATTCCCAGTCCCAAATGTGTCTTTCACTTCGGGTTTAACCCATCTAGAGGACTTTGATTTGGTTTTGCAGTTTTTGTGGCCAAAACATTTACAGTATTCTGGAAGATCTTCATAGGTGATTGGCTGGTGGAAAGTAAGTTGGCCCAAGTGGATCCAGACACAATGAGGCAGCTCTTTGCTGATATCAACCTCGGCACAGATTCGCGCAACAGAAGGCCTAGCAAGGCTTGCTGTTGCTGAATCAGTTTTTAAAGGCTTACCAAGCAAATTCCCAATGGAATACAAAGCAACAGTATCAAATAAGTGTATTGGTAGTCCCTTAAGGCTGATCCAAACAGGGATGAGAGGGGAATCGACACTAGGGTCAAAGTCATGTGTCCAGCGGAAAACTTTCAAAGTAAATCCGTGTATCTTCCAGTATTTTCTAAGCAAGCATCACAAGAAATCCTTCTCGGATTCAAAATTGATCAAAATATGAGAGTCATCTAGCAAACTTGCCGTATAATCTTTTTCAAATGCTATGCGCTCAATGGCCTTTCTAGTTGAGGTAAGGCTTGGTCTTCCTTTGATGAAACGCCCAACAATTGTTCTAGAGAATCTAGAGGATAGCGTGAAGACATCCTCTTCTGTGAATGAAATTGCTGGTTGGCCTTTAAATTTGCTCGCAGGTTTGAAAACTCCTGTATTTGCAATTTCACAGAAGGTGCGTTGAGGAAGAGATGTGGACATGGTTGGATAAAGTTCGCTGGACCGCCATAGTGGCGGTCGGAAACCTAGCCGCAGAGCACAGATCTAGTGCGAGAAGACATTCATATATATATATATATATATATATATATATATATATATATATATATAGACACACACACACACATGTATCACTTCCTCATCATTCTCGAAGTTGTATTTTACTCACAAACCAGCAAATAGCCAAACTTTTAGGAGCCATGCTCTACACCCATCAATAATAGTTAAAGCAGTTACTCAAAGCCCTTTTGTCCCCATCATATATTTCATCTCTGCCAGGAAGGAAGGGAAGAAACCAGCAAACATAACTCTTTTCCTAGGCCAAAACAAGCAAGGTGAGTGGGAATAATACTTTATACCTCTAAATTGTTTATGATAGTCCATTACATTCCTACTATGTTTGTTTTTATAGTATAAAATAAAAGAGAATAAAATACCACCCAGTTTAGGGGTTCCAAATTTATAAACTTATTTTGGCATTAAAAATATATCTTAAGAGCTTGGCAATTAGGAAAATCATGCCACAGGGCAATATTAACCTTGATGATTTGATTTAAAAAATACCGTAATAATTTTTGGAACTCAAAGAGAGTTTGCATAAGGGAACTGTTTGAAAAAAACTCATGTCAAAGGTGATAAAAGAGCCGTTTGCACTAATAAATGCCAGCTGGACGCGGTTTCGTTTCCACCCACACACACACACGCTTACCACTCTGAGTACAGAGGTGTATTTATCAGCTCCATTATATTCATCCCCTGCATACTACTTCCCCTTCTCGATCATAATAAACTCTTTTTTTTTTGGCATTCTAATAATTCTTCTCAGAATTCGTAAATCCGTTAGTTTTAGCGATTTCTTCTGATTCTGCTGCAAGGTTCGTCGACAATGGCTGAAGATCGAGTATATCCTCTCGATTCCCCGCCGTCATCTGAAACCTCCGGTCGATTCGACCAGCCGCCTCCAGCAAAGCCGACTCCGCCGCCCGGGACGTACATCATCCAGGTCCCCAAGGAGCAAATATTCCGCCACCCGCCGCCGGAGAATGCCCGACATTCGAACTCCCCCAGGCGCCGCCGCCGCCGATGCGTCCGCCTTCGCGTTGCACTCTGCCTCCTCGCGGCCCTTCTCGCCGCCCTCGCCGTCTCCGCCGGCGTTCTCTACCTCGTCTTCCGCCCCGAATCGCCGAGCTACACCGTGTCCGCCGTGGCAATCAAGGGGCTGAACTTGACGTCGGCGTCCCCGGTGTCGCCGGAGTTTGACGTCACGATCCGGGCTGAAAACCGTAACGGCAAGATGGGGATCTATTACCGGCGAGGAAGCTCCGCGACGGTTTCCCACTCCGGCGTGGACATCGGTAACGGGGAATTGCCGGTGCTTTTCCAGCCGTCAAGAAACGTGACGGACTTCCACGTGGAGCTGAAGGGAAGCGGGATCATGCTCGGCAGCGCCGTTAGATCGTCACTCATACGTCAGCAGAGGCAAGGGCAGGCGAGATTTAAGGTGAATGTGAAAGCTCCCGTCAAGATAAAAATCGGGGCCGTGAAAACGTGGGAAATCACCGTTAAAGTTCACTGTGACGTCACAGTGAATGCTTTGAACGAGAAACCCAAACTGCTGTCAAGGGACTGTAATTCCAGTGTGAAACTCTTTTGGTAGAATTTTGGTTCTTTTTTTAGTAGAGAAATTTAGTTCTTCTTTTACTACACTTTACAGCATAAGAAGTAAATTAATTTTTTATTACCAGATAAAACCGTACACATACTTTAGCATAGAAGAAACGGAGGAGTTTTAGTAAGACCAGAGTAAGTCGGAGTTTTAGTATGGCGGGGTTCTAGTGACACCGAAGTACGGCAGGGTTCTAGTAACACCGGAGTATAGTGATACTGTCATTTTGGGCGCTTCAGGTGCTCCATTTGTAAAATTAACGGTTCCTACCATCCCTCAACCCCCAACCCTATTCATATCCTTGCACTTCCACCCCAACCCCGCCGTAACCCACACCGTTTATTCGGGGTCTCATTTTTTTTCCAATTAAGGGTCCGTTTTAAAACAGGGAAAAATAACCTTTGGTTTTGTTGGAAGTATGAAAATTGTTCATTTCTGTTTTGTTCAAAAAATGAATCTAAAAAAACAAATATCCAAAAATCTAACATGTCAATTATTGCACCACCCAAAAGGAGAAAATGCAATATGCAGATGTCCCGCAATTACTAAGTGAGAAATCCCCACCCCATCCTCCACTACATAAATGGGCAAAAACTTCAAAAAAAATTAATAAATAAAAATTAAATAAAAATAAATGGTGAAGAAGGAAGTGGGGGACAAATATTATACACTCATACACCTTTGGTGTACTCGGTGTACCCCATTTGTCCCTCATCCCCTTCTCCACCATCCATTTTTATTTAATTTTTATTTATTTAAATTTTTTTGAAATTTTTGTCCATTTATGTGGTGGAGGATGGGGGTGAGGGACAAAGTTTTTGCACCACCCTACCATTGCTCTAAAATTAGAGCTTGGCCGCAAATAGAAAATTTTTTCAATGTTGTCTATGCGTTCCCCAAACTGAATGATTTAAATTTCTAGAATTTCTTATTCAAATCCTTCAATTAAAATCAAACCCATAAAATTCTTAATCAACAAAACCTAAAAACCCCTAGATCTGAGAATAAATCAATAAATACGGAGTACTCGGTATGAAATAAACATCTCTTGATTCCAAATCCAAAATGGATTGATTCCAATGGATTTGTCTTGAGACTTCCACTTTGACAGTGTAGAGATCTCAAGACATAGCATGATTTCAAAATCCACAATAGTTCTAAATATGTCAATTCGCCAAGGTTTGTATCATTTGTATTAAACATACTTTTGTTAAGATAATGTATTGAAACCACCACATCGACAGTACAGAGGTCTCAAAATTTAGTATGGTCTCAATATAATATCTTAACAAAAATTGGAATAACTGATGAAGATGACAATCCACTAACAGAAGGAGGGAGGATGAGGCTGCAAGGAACACGGAGAGTAGAAATGTCACAAGAAAGAAAGAAAATAGAGGCTAGGGCCTAGGAGGAAGAGAGAAGAAGAAGAGCTGCGAGGAGGAGAGAGCAAATTAGAAAAGAAAAATGACTTCCGAAGTTTTTTTTCTAGAAGTCAAAGTCTCGAGCCATCATTTTCAGTTTTGACCAATGTTATTTTCCATTGACTTTACATTTTTCTATTAAGCCAAACACCATAAAAGGGGAAAAGGTGGAAAATGACCACTGGAAGTCATTTTCCCTTTACTTTAATCTTTAAACTAAGAGTCCGTTTGGAAAGGAAGAAAATGATCTTTGGAAGTCATTTTCCCCTTTTGTGGTACTTGACTTAACAGGAAAATGTAAAGTCAATAAAAAATAACATTGGTCAAAACTCAAAATGAAGGCTCAGTGGAGCTTAAAATATGGAATGTTGCTTCGGTGATTCGGTGGGAGTAAGGATTGATTCCCACTCAGTGCCTAAAAGAGACAAGTTTCAATACCTGGTTTAGTCTTTCAAGAAGATAGAAAAATAGATGGGATATTGTTCATTGTATTGGTATTGCTTAGGCAAAGTAAAAGCTAGCTTCAAGTATACATTGCGACAAAAAGAAATCAACGAACATGAACTTAAATTTTTATCAAATAGTGGTCAAGTCGGCTATGCTATAGAGAGCGAAGTGCTAGGCGGTGAAGCAACTCACGTTAGTCAACTTCAAGTGGCAAAGATGAGGATGATGAGGTAGAAGTGTGAGTAGACGAGGTTAGATAGAATCCAAAAAAAAGGTTATTCAAGGACGTGTTAAAGTGGCACATGTACGTGGATGATAAACTACATGAAGCTAGCTTGAGGTGGTTTGGAGTTTGGACACACAAAAAAGAAAAATGCAAAGGCATCAATGCTTAAATTTGAAAAGCTTACGACAGTGCGCACGAGAAGGGGGTAAAGGTAAACCTAAGAAAAGTTAGAAGGAATTGATAGATAAAAATGTCTTGAGATCTAGAATTAGAAAAATAAGTTGGACTTTGGCCTTAGTGATAGTTTTAGCATGTGTTTTTACTCTTATCTTTGTATGGATTTCTATGTTTTGCATTTAGTTGTTAGTGTTGATTGGTGTGTTTTATGTCTCTATGTGCTTACTAAGCCATTAGTTTGCTTTTTTGCTTCTAATTTGCTCTTACTTTGTTCAAGCTTTTGGCTCTACTTTCCTGGATTACTTTGTGGTTGAGATGTTGGTCTCTTATAAACAACCTCTCTACTTCCAAGCAGGAACGGGGTCTACATTCACACACCCACTTTATTAAACCTTATTTTTATGAGATTTTACTGGGTTTATTGTTGTATCTTCCAAACAGCCACAAAATCATATGGGTCTTTATATTTATTGATCATTGGCCATATATTTATGAATTGACACGACTCAATAATGAGTTCATCAAAGTAACCGAAGTACATGGCCTAATCAGTGTATCATTGGCCATATATTTATGAATTGACACGACTCATCTAATTTTTCTTTGCTACTATTTCAGCTAGGTATTGTTTTGCCAAAGCAGTGTTAGTTTTTGTGTGGTTGGAGGGGAAGGAAAATGGCTCCCTCTCCTCATTTTGGTTAAGGTCCAAATCAAGGTAAGGGAATCATTTCCCCTCCCATCCACTAATTTAACCAAACACACCCTTAAGATATTACCAAGACGAAGGAGATGGAACAATCAGTTGGTTCCCAGGGCTGCTGCAAGAGGAAGAGATTGAACTCCAGCTAGAGGGTTCACTTGGTAGAGAATGCAAGTTCCCAGAGATCAGTCAAAGCCTTCTTCACATACCAAGCATGTTTCCTAAAAGTACTGTAATGAACCACAAAGTAGAAAATAAAATTAACAGAAGTAACCAATCTATAAAAAAAGACATTAGACGGTTAGATAATACACGTATCCGGAAAGAGTAGCAGCATTTCTTACCTCTTCAGGTCCGGCTTCCTCCTCATCATATAAAAAAAGGTAAGAGGTAGAAAGCATAGAAAAATTTTGCCATTTGAGACAACGAATTGAGCATTCCCAAACTTCAAAGTTATGGTCCGGAACCACCAAAAGGGTGCTCTATTTTTGTACATTTTCATAATTGTCTCTTTTGTATTATTCTCCAGATTGTTTGCAGAACTGGGATTTTCTTCCATCATGGAATCTGACTGATTTGGATATTCATCTATTTGCAATAGTGAAGCAGTGGGCTGGGATGAACTGTCGAGGTCTGAAGTGTTCATGGAGTGTATTAGCCTCAGCAGAATCTGGAGAATAGCCATATGAAGGAATAGTTAGTAAACGAGGGGAAACATTTATTAAAAATGCCGCACGGTAAAATAATAATAAGAATAATCATAAACTACATGGTGAGAAGAGTACAGAATGTGCAATTTATGAAAAGAAAGGAACAAAATGTACCACCCAACTATATGCCATGAAAAAATATACCCTTACACTATGTTTGGTTCAAGGAATTTGAAAGGGAAAAGAAAAGAAAATGAAATGAAAAATAGTTTTTCTTGTTAGGTTAGAGAGGAAAAAAAAGGAAAAGTGGAAGAAAAAAAATGAGAAGGCAATATGTAGTAAGTGGAGGGAAAACCAAATTCCTCCCATTTTGGTGTTGAAACTGAGAGAAAATCATTTTCTTTTCTTTCCAAATTCCTTGAACCAAACATAGTGTTAATCTGTTTTTCCTCAACGGTGTGTAAAAACCAACCACCAAACTCTAACCTCCCCCCCCCACCAAAATAAAAAATCCCCGGTCTGGTTTTCCATGAAAAAGTTCAAAAAAAAAGCACATTGACAGAATGATTGTCATTTTGTACAGGAGAAAGTTATGTCTAAACAAACCACATCATTTATCAGATGTAATAATGAAATTGCAGATATCTTCACAAAAATTTTGCAAAATCTCATACACTAGACTTCTTCTTCTTGTTTGAAAATTGCCTTTAATAATCCAAACTTTGGGCATCAGTCAATAATAATCCAAATTTCAACCAGTTCAAGAAATAATACGAACTTTAACACCTTCATCCATCTATGCACCACGAACTAATACCACTAGTTCTCTGTTAGTAACAATCTTATAAAAGTCCAAACTTTGAGTGATCGGCCTAGAATAATCCATACTTCAACTCATCTTAATAATAATACAACATTCATTGACTTAGGCACCTGTTCTAGTCAAATTAAGCACTTTTCATTTAAAATTGGAACTAAGGTCCGGCTGACTTTAGTTATGTTCAATTAAATCCAGTTAATAGTGCATTCTTTTTTATTTATTTTTAGCTCAGATCATCAGTATGTAGTTAAAATTACAACTTTCAGTTTTGTCCAGTTAAGTATATTTTGATCCAAAAGAATGTTAACTTAGTAAAGTTTACGAAGAAATAACATATTGAAATAATTTTAAAAAAAATATAAAAATAATACATTATTCTTTGTTTCTACTTAGTCTCAATATACTCTGTAATTTGTATTTATAATTTTTAAAAATAACACAAATCGTTAGGTATGTATTTTCCTATATTTTGTATGTAAAATATTCTTTGGGGTATTGCATTTGCATGGGGGTAATTTAACCTGGTGGTGAAAAAAACAAGAAACAAGGTCTAGTTGCAAGATCAAGTGTCAAAGCAGAGTTCAAAGCCATTTCTCTGACAATATGTGAGCTCATCTAAACAAAGTTTGTACTTGAAGAACTTAATACTGCAGAATACACTAGAAAAACAACAATAGCAACTCAATATAATCCCAACTCCATGTCTTACAGACTTGCCCCAGTGAAGACAATGATGTTATTTCCATAAGACCCGAGATGCATTGCTGCATTTACTTCCAAAACTTTGTCGTAAGTAAGAAGCAAGGGAAGTTTAGTGTGTCATTTTAATTGATTCCACTATGGGCATCTTGATTTGGATTCTCAAACAGTTTCACACATTGCCTCAAAGCTGTTTTTTTCAAGAAAAACTAAGGAAATAGAGATTTGATTGTCATTTCATTTGGGAAAAATGAAATTAGCACGACACTTTGAAATATAATGAAAAACTTGTGGGCATCTCCACCAAGCCTTTACGAATCCAAGGACAGTCTACATATGTGACTAGCTCGGTGCAAATGATATTTATGCACCATATTGAGGGGAGTATTGATATATGTTGTATTGTTGTTACTATCTATGAAGTTAACATAGAGGACTTGTGAAGATTGTCTTCTTTTTCTTTTGAATGATGTATGTTCCCCTCCTCCATTACCTCTCCGTGCAGATTGTACTTTATAGACCAAGATCCTCAAATGTTGGGATTGATCATTCACAAATTGTAAATGTTCTCTAATCTATACACAGGCCTAATAGTCTTCAACTCCCTTTTTTAGGCTAAAACATTTAGGTTCTTTTCTAAATCAAAATAGAGATCAACTCTAGAAGGTTTTAACTTCCTTATAGTTCAAGTGATATATAGGTGAAATACACATAATGAGAGACAAATAGGCAAACTTCAAAGGATATCATAGAACACAGCTTTTTTCACACAAGTTACTAAATTCCAAAGATTTAAAAACATTATGTAAAGATGACACTCTTTCACCCCCGTGAAAAGGTTCCACATCTCTTTTTTTATTTGTCTCAAAATAAGGTTCCACTTTTCTTTTACAGAAATTATTATATGATTTACATTATTACTCTGCTCTGCAAAACTCTCAACCACTCAATTTCATCTTTATTAATAATCGTGACCAGTCAAATGTGGAACCTTAATTCGAGACGGGGGGAGAAGATTATAATTAAAAGTTGGACATCAAATCAATATTGTTAAAAAACTTCATAATCTATATATGATAGGAAATGAACCTCATAGGGGAACATGCAATTAATTTTAAAGTGCTTATAAAAGACCATACATGTGCCAGATTATAGGATAATATTCCATCCATTAAAAGTAAACATAGACATTGACAACAAATCACAAAATTTTAGGTTTTCAAATTTTGAGAATGAATATCAAGAGATCATCTTTTAAGCCGGAAAATATACTGTATAATGAAGCAAAACAACAAGAACTTTCCAATATCCCTAAATTGGTAAAGTTTATTCAGCAATATCAACCACATATTTGTTCAGTACTATCACTGAACACGGCCACCTAAACCCCAAAAAAGAAAAGGTAACAGGAGAATATGAGAAAAGAAATACTAACCTGCCGCTTTTCCTCAGGTAAACTAGCTTTCTCAACCCATGAGACAGCAAGATCAACATTTTTCATAGCCCTTCCCAGAATATCTATCACATAGAGCTCAACAACTTCTAGATATTCATCAACTCCAAGCACAATCTGCTTACTGAAGCCTTTGACACGAGTAATGTCAACTCCAAGACTTCCTGAAGCATAATAATTTCCATCCATGTATTCCCATTTGCTAAGATATTCCTCAAGGATATCTTGAAAATCAAAAGAAATGAAACCAGGTATTTGGAGGCATGCCCTAACAAAGAATGTTCTATGTCACCTTCTACAGAAAGACACAACAACAACAACCTAGTATAATCTAAACTCCATTGGAGTTTGGGGTCAAGATGTATGCAGTCTTACCCCTGTAAAAATAGAAACGCTGTTTCTGTCAGACCCATGATGCATTTACTACCTAAAACTTCATAGAGAGTAAGAAGCAAGACGTTTAATGTGCCTTTTTTTATTTAGGGTGTGCTTATTGGCTTATTGCTGACAAACAGTGGTCAACTTATAAGATGCTTATAAGTTAAATATTCATTCGTGGAAGGAAGATGACAAATGATAGATATGTCATTTCGGGATATTCATAAATGCCGAGGGATAGTTTTGTAAAGAATCTATTCATAAAATGTTCTAATACAACGAAGTTTAACAACCAAAGTTACTTTTAGGTACTTTCCTAAAGAAAAAAAACAAAGTTGAAAAAAGAATTGCCGACATAAATTGGAAATAAGTTAATCATTTAACATTTAAAAAATTAAGCACTGAGTACTAATTAGGAAGATAAAGTAGGAAAAAAACATTAATCTGAAAATAAACTGATTTTTAAAGCATTGGAATCGGGGGTATAAAATACTTTAAAAAAGCACTGGAGTAAAAACAAAAGCACTGGACTAGGCGAGGCCAAGGCGACGCCTAGGCGAGGTATGCAAAATGAGGTGAGGCGAGCTCCGGTGGCGAGAGTAGAGGGGTTCCACAACGCCTAGCCGACGCCGTGACAACTATGATAAGCACAGAGAAGAAACATGCCATCAACTGACTTTAAGTTTAAAAAAGCTTATAAGCACAGAAAACACCCACTTGGTCCATTATGTGCCCTAAAAAAAACCTTCGTCAATGATGACTCTCATAGCTCCATTAGCAATGGACGCCTATCCAAATAGTCCAATATGTATACAAATGTGGATATGTCTACACAGAATTATTTAATGAATAGAAAATAATATAGTTCAACTTTTAATGAAACTTCAATGTTTCTATAATCATTGTCACATGCAAGGGATTTGATGGTAAACATAAAACTACTGTAACAAACTAATATACATGATCAGAGTAAATGAGAGTATGAGACAAATGCAGAGAAGAGTCTGCGGTACTAGTCATCCTTTCATGAACATTAGGTCGAACATGTAATATAAAGAAGTTACCCAGTATAGAAGACATGAGCAGGGATGGCAGTGACTGAACCAAACAACATCTTAAGTTCTTTCAGTATTTCTGAGATCCTGCACACACACAAAATCATATTTATATTTGCCTGTGCCAAAAGCCATCGTTTGCACTTTTATTGACAAATAAAATAACTACTCGCAGATTAAGATATTGACCCAAAATCGACATAAACTATCCGTATTTCTATTCTATTGCAATAACAACAGCAACAATAACAACAAACAAACACAACATAATTTCAACTTTGTTAGACCCTTGATGCATTGTTGCATTTACTTCCCAAAACATCATAGAAAGTTAGAAGCAAGAGATGTTTAACATGTCATTGTAAATTTTTCCAGTATTTATCCAAAACTAAAACATTGTAAAAAAGGACTATATTAGCTCCATTTGCAATGGATGAAAATATACCCACCAACACAAGAGCTGCTGCATTATACGAAGGCATGGTGGTTCTAGGGTTAAAGGTATACCTTCCAAGTTGATTCAAAGACTGGACAAAGGCCATTCCAGCCGACTCCAACATATCATCCAATTCATCATTGCATTCTGCAATTTCATGATTGTGTATGTTATTGTTGTTAGAATTAATAATCTCTAACAAGCTCTTCAGCACAGAGTGAGAACAAGAGGCTGCCTCATCGTACATACAGCACACCAGATAACTGCAAAACTCAATCGAAAAAAATAGATTTCCATTAAATTTCAGTGAGTGAGAAGTACAAAACAGGCAAAAGATTTCACCTTTCAGCGCGTTCAATATCTTCCCAGAAGGGATGAATTGTAGAGTTGAATGTGGGTTCTACTTCTTCCATCTCTGAACCTGAACAGAATTAACAACTCACTGGATCATGGATCGGATTCAGTTTTTCCTAAATTGGTATATTTAGGTGTTTTCTGAAATGGGTCCATTTTCATAATAAAATTACATTAGTACAATTACTGGTAATAAAAATACATTAGTACATAATATGTATACACTACCTTTCTGCTTGGATCTTCAAAGTGTTGCCTCTAAAGTGTGCTTGGAGCTTCGAAGTGTCGTGGGTGACATCTGGTGCGTCAATTTCTACAACCCGTCTATGCCTCTGCTTCCACCGGTCTCTACTTCTGTCTAATAAGTCAATTAGGTTTTCAATAGGGAAATCATTCTTGCACCATGTGACTGACACCAAAAATTGTACCCCAAACTTACACAAAAAATATACACTAACATTTTGATAGGTTTACATTGACACAAAGTGTTGGTGCGCTAACAAAATTTACTTTGACACAAAGTGTTGGTACATTAACAAAAAATAGCATTACACCAACACAAAATGTTAGTGCACACCTGTGATACCCTCCAATTGCACCCTGGGAAAATTTTTCGTGCTACTTTCTTTTGTCATTGCGATTATCAGTTTTGGACAAGGAGTCTCCTGGAATAAATTTGGAACAACCATTATTAAGAGGACTATTGAAGTTTAGGTCCGAAGTGAAAAAACCAACCGAATCGGACCGTTAGGTCCATACTAAACTCAGAGCGACTGAATTTCGGGTCAGTCTTCGATCCAAAAATTAAGCATTCGGGTTTCAATTCGATCCGGTCTAAACCCAAAATGATTTAGGTCTGAATCGAATGGATTGAATAATCCTATTGGATCTAAAAGATCTAAACACTAAAACTCTACTTTTTAAGTTTGGTATTACATGTTAATGCTCTGTTTTGATAGATATCTTAACTTATTTAATCAATAAGGTTTTTTACTTTTTTAGCAATTTAAAAAATAAATTATTTCACATTAGTTTATATGATTATACATGGAAGTACTTGTATATATTTTAGTGTGTCCATTTTTTTTCTCATTTGCACTATACAAATTAAAAAGCCTAAAGCATAATTAATAAATCAAAATAATTAAAAATATATATTTTTTGGGTTCAGTTGTTCCAGTCCAGTTCGGTCTTAAGTATTCTGATCCGGTCCAATCCAAACCCAAATAGGGCCATGTTATTCTCAACTTATTTTGTTACTTAGTACTTATTCTTATTGGAATCAGATTAGATCATATCAGACCAGATTATATTAGAAATAGCTTTAAATATAAATACATTCAAATTAAATCAAACCAGATTAGATCAGAACAGAACTTATTCAAATAATATTAGAACCAATCAGATCAGGCAAAGAGAGCATGACCTAAATTTAGGTCCGTTCTTCAGTCTGGAATTTTGTTCAATTCCATCTTTGGTCCGATCTTAGACCGATGAACACCCCTAATTAATAGCTTGAACTAAACAACATGCTGGGCTTGCACGAACATTTGCAGCTGTAAGTATTATCATGCTCTAAAAGCTATGGAGTACTACCTAATTATTACGGAGTACATATATTAATTTCTCTAATGAAAAATCAGCTAACTAGGATACAAGGAAACAAAATTTAACGAAGAAAAATTAAGAAACAAACGAACTAGTTCATAACATTCAACTGAATCCTCTCTTACTTCAAGAATTCAAGATAAATGGATAGAAATTCCGAGTTCCCACAATTTTCATATACATGAATTCACTCACCCAACATCAGAATAGAAGCATAGTTTGAAAAGCTAAGACCTTTAGCTACATTAGCAGCAGTATGACAAAAGCAGAGACAGCATAGGTCTCACCTTGTCAGCCCAAACTCATAAACAAAGCCCATAATGAATATCAAGAAATCGCCAATCTTCCTCCAATGATGAAAAGAAACTAACATAATTAAAGAAGAAAAAGAATGAAACAATGAAATTAGAAAAAATATCAAATTAAGAACTAAGAATTAACCCTAGATTTTAAATAAAAAAATGAAACAATGAAAGAAAATTAAGATTTAAGAAATAAAAATTACAAAATTGGAAAGGGAAGGTTATGAATAATTACCTGGAGGGTGGAGCTGGTCCGGCGGTAGAGGCGGCGAGTCGGGGCTGTCGGGCAGTGGGCTCTCTTGTTTCTGCCGGTGACGTTTCTGGCTTTCTGCGTTTCTTCGGACTTCGATCGGCACTTGGCCACTTGCACTGCTTTTCTTCAGTTTTTTTTGGTGTACAGAATACGGATGGACTGATGGAGACATGCAGTTAAGGGGTGGGTTTGGGCCTGAGCTTATATACATAAATATATACATAAGTAAAACTTTTAAATAATCACACTAGCACAATATACTGATGCATGTCTTCGAGTTATAAAGTAGGATACAATTTTTTGTGTACAAATAACTTGGTTCTTATTTTAAGCTAAATCTATATGTCATTTTTCTCTTGTTAAGTATTTCAGAAGTAAATTTATATATTTTATGGTAGTGTGATAGTTTATAATGATACAAAATATCAGTGTAATTTATTTTATTGAACTATTGTAAAATCCTTAAAATGCTAATGTATTTCTTTGGGGTTTGGAGTACAACTTGAAGTAGACTTTTTTTTGTCTCTTGGTGTACTCGGTTGTAAAAATGAACTTGTCAAATATGCTATTCTTATCACAAGTGCAAATTATATTATACAACCCACTATACCCAAAGTTGGGCACAGCCGGCCTAAAAGTTACCGCGAAGAGGCTTGCGAATCAGCGATTACTGTGGCAATAGAAGTCGACGAAGAGGAGCAATTACTGCGACTAGCGGTTTTGGATCGGAGGAGAAGCACCGATGAAGGGAAGACGACGAAGAAAAGGCCTGCAATTTTGGATTCAAGCAGACGACCAACGAATCTTCTGCAGAAGATGGAGTTCGTCCCCCGTCCTCCTCGTCGTCCTAGTTTGTGGTGTCCTAGTTTGTGGTGCTGGCATCAATGCAAGATGGAGAATACCATGAACCAGTTGTAGAGAAGATTGCTTGCTCCTTAGATTTTTTTACATAATTTATTTAGAATGAGTACTATTTTGCTACAAAATTAATGCTAAGTTGTTTGAAAATGAACATTACATTATTCGTAAATGAATATTGTAATTATATTGAATAACTTATTTTAGAACGAATACTACCTTAGTTCAGAATGAGTATTACACTGTGTTTGTTTGGAGGTAAGAGGAGGTAGGGAGAGATAAATTTAACATTCTATCTAGTTTGGTAACAAAAATTTATATAGGTCAAGAGAGGTGGGGGGAGGTAAAGGGAGGTAGTGATACCTCTCAACAGTAGAATTTATGTGACAGCCAGTTTGGCTGAATATCAAGGTAATACCCACAGCTATCCTCGCCGCACTGATATAAAACCAATTGCCATCTTCTGATCGCCATCTCCAACAAGACGAGGTATTCCAATTTTTTCCCTTCAATTTTCAATTTTTTTTCGTTCTGCCTCTACGTCATTTGTTCGATTCTGGTTGCTGGGCGACTCTGCTCCAAATTGGAAGGTATTTAATCCTCTTATTTTTCCCTCTGTTTTTGCATGCAATCCCGATCCCTTTTTTTGCATTGCAACCATGAAAAGGGATTTTTGCCGAATTTCCTCCACGAATGCTCAAATATCTCGCCCTTTTTTTCTTTGGGGTCAAAATTTATTCTGGGTTTTTGTTGTTTGGCACTTTGGCTGGAACTTTTTTTTTCATTCTACCTTTGCTCATTAAATCATTATTTCTTTCTACACGGATTTTGCTTACTTCATTTCAATTTTTTCACTTTTTTTGCTTACTTCACATATTTTGGTTCTGCACAGATTTTCAATTTCACTTCACTTTTTTTTTGCTTCCTTCAATTTTGCTTTCAATTTTTTGCTTTCACAAGGATATTTTAATAATTTTATTCTTTTTCTACCTCACGTTACCTAATAAACATCCAAACACAATTTTTTATCTCATTACCTTCAATTACATACCTTTAATTACCTACCTTTACCTACCTAATAAAAATGTTACCTGCCTCCCACCAAACATACCCTTACTTATTTCCAGGTGAGTATTGCCATATACCTTCTATTAGTTCTATCACAAGGACTTCGTTTCGAATTAGTATTAAACTCTGGAGTATTTTGAGGGACTCGAGAGAGAGAGAGAGAGAGAGAGTACAGCGAGGAGCGAGGGTTTATCGCGGGTTAAACGCATCCATCTCCTTACTGCCAATACTGCGGTTACCAGCGAGTCTCAACACACGCACGGCAGGGCTAGCTATTCATAGGCTAATCAGCACATCCGAGCTCAACCCAGAGAGGGTCTTCAAGGGTGACATCTCTAAACTTAAGATTCCATAGTTATATGCTAGGATTTGCTGTTTGGAGGTTATAATTTGACTTACTCTACTTGAATTTGCTTTGATCGAGTTTGAATTTTCTTAGTATCTGCTGCATTTGTCTTCGATTCTACTATATTTACGTGTTTGGGGTCGGAATCTGTGGAATGCTTATTCAATAAGTTGTTTGTGCAGATTTGGATTGATTATTGTTTGTTAGGTTATTTGTGAATGAATGGAATGTGTTGACGTTTGTTTTATTATTAATTTGCTTGGTTATTTGGAACAGATTATTTAGTTCGAATGCCCGTTTGAACTCTGTAACCCTGTCCAATAGTGGTATTCTAACCTCCTAAAAGTACATCATTGCTAAGGGAGGCATACCCTAGTGCCAAAACAGTATGTTGCAATTAGTTGGGTACTGATTTGTATTTGATGGGCATCTGAATACTGTCTCATTATACACTCTTGCTAGTGGGAGTGTAGTGATTAGTTAGCCAGGATGCAAGCGTCAGAATGTAGTCAAAATCGAGCGATCATTTTTTATTATTCATGGAGTACAACTCTTACTATGCATATTACGGAGTGATAGAAACCATAAAAGACTAAATACGGAGCATTAAAGTAAAATTTAAAAATGGGAAAGAAATTTTATCAATTAGCATTTTTGCTTTACTGCCGAACCTACCTGTAGTTTTTGTTACTGTTCCTTTAGTTATACTTGAGTTGAAATTGGCAATGGAGACTGCATTGTTACATACAGATGTATTTTTTATTTTATTTTGCAGAACCTGTAGCCAAATGTTTTCCAAAATTGCCAAGATTAAGCTTGTGAGCTCACATCCTGAAGTGTATGAACCGTGCGATGATTCATTTGCATTAGTGGATGCGCTACTGGCTGATCAGGCTAACTTGTCAGATCACCGGCCCACATGTTGTATGGAAGTTGGATGCGGTAGTGGATACGTTATAACATCTCTAGCACTCATGCTACGAAATGAAGTGCCTGAGCCCTTTTATATTGCAACTGACATAAATCCTCATGCAGTGAGGGTGACTCGTGAGACAGCGGATGCCCATGGTGTTGATGTTGACTTGGTAAATACTGATATTGCCTTGGGAGTGGAGGCACGGTTGGCTGGGTTAGTGGATGTTTTGGTTGTTAACCCTCCTTATGTTCCTACTCCCGAAGAGGAAGTTGGTCGTGAAGGAATAACCTCTGCTTGGGCTGGAGGGGAAAATGGTCTGAGTGTGATCAACAAGATATTGCCTGTTGCGGACAAACTTCTGTCTGAAAGAGGCTGGCTGTATCTGCTCACACTCTCTGATAATAATCCCTCTAAGATATGCCTTCAAATGAGAAAGAAGGGTTATGCATCTAGAGTCATTCTTCAGCGGTCCACTGATGAGGAAAGCCTTCATATAATCAAATTTTGGCGTGATGCCAACTGCCAGTTAGAAGCAAAAAAATATCATAGTTTAATGGTGAAAAATGGTCAACAAAATGTCAATAAACCAGGGGATTTTGAATTTCCAGAATTGTTATCAGGGGGACGTCACAACTGCAATGCACTCTAAGTACCAATGCTTTCAAGGTACATTATTTAATTAGAATCTGCACATAGCTGATGATGGTTTTCATTTTGCATTGCTCATAGATATATGGTGTGCATAAGAATGTTTTATTCGGATTTTGGTACTACGCAGGCTTGATTTAGTTTCTAAGCAGGAGTGATTGATCTTTAGGTCTCTCTCTCTCTCTCTCTCTTGCGTTATCCAGTAAAGCCTCCCAAGTCCTAACCTCTTTTAGAAAACATAGAAGTCTTGTTTCTATCTTATACAATTAACTCCCTTTGAGATTTTTCATGCAGTAATTTATAAACTGTTTTATAGCATTATCTTCTTGTACAACTCTAGAAGGCAGTTTTTAAGGTTAAATCTTTAGAATGCTACCGCTGCACCCATTCCACATATTCTAGTCATTCACCATTATGGAGGACAATCTAATCATATGTTTGGGAGGGGGTAATATTAGGTAGCTAAAGGTAAAATTTACTTCGGTAAACTGAGACAGGATTTACGGAATTTACCTCCTCATTACGTCACACTCCTTTACTTTCATCATCTCCGATGGAGCCAAAATTTCACCTGTTTTTGGCTTTGGGGTGTGATGGAATAAATCAAAATGGATATCTAAACTATTTGCGCTTCTTTAATTAATGAAGTAGCAGTTAGTCAAGCAATGCAACTTTCGACGTTGAGCCGGGGGTCTCTTTGGAAACAGCCTCTCTACTTTCGAGTAGGGGCAAGGTCTGCGTACACACACCCTCCCCAGACCCTACTCTTGTGGGATTTAACTGGGTTGTTGTTGTTGTATTACGTCACACTCCTTTCTTCACCTCCAAATTAGCGAAAATATGATGGTAGTAACTCCCAAAATTAGGAACACTCTTTGGCCAATTCTGCAACAAGGCAACAGCACCGAGAAGCTCCCACGAGGCAAAGAAGCTGTGGCGATTTACATTGAGAGACTGAGGTAAGATTTACCTCCTCATTATGTCACACTTCTTACTTTCTTCACCTCCAAATTAGCGAATATATGACGGAAGTAACACTTCCAAAATTAGGAAGACTCTTTTGGCCTGTTCGGCAAGAAGGCAAGGCAAGAAGAAGCTCCCAAAGAGCGTAGAAGCCGTGAAGACCCATCTTCGTCTCCCTTCTGAATGCTGCCATCGCTGTAACTTCAGAGCCCGTCTCTACGTTTTTCATCTCGCTGCTGCTGGAAGGTGAGTTATGTGTCTTCTCTGATTCAATTAGGATTTATGTGACACATTATCTTCACTTGGATTGCTTTGATTTATCTTTATTTGCGCGTTTTGATTCCTTCTGAAACTTCGATTATTGTTCAAGTGTAACTCTGTTTTTCGCTGTAAATGTTTTTTCCCTGCAATGGGAACAAGATGCATCCAAAATCTGAATTCCAAACGATGGTATTCAGCAGCTTAAAACTCATACAGTTTGAGTTTTCACTTGATTAACCTCTTAAAGAAAGTTGTGTGTGATCTCTGTTCGATATTGGAATGTCTACACTCTATAGTCCCATGTGTATATAATTACGGAGTATGTTAAAGCCAATTCCCAGTCCTTGCCAATTTTAGTTGTTTAGGTCCTGATTTTCATCTTTTTTTTCTCCATTGAAACACAATTTAAGTTGATACGAAGTATAATACTGAAGTCACAACAAATGAACTAGTTCTGTACTTTATGCTTTAAAACGAAATCTTCAGATTGCTTGACTCAGAGTTCCAACAGCTTGGAGGTGCCATTGAGTTCTTGAACATTTTGAAACATGAAAACAGTAGATTTCTCCCATCATCTCAACATCAGACTAACACAAGAGACCTATTTTAGTTGGCATAGTTGTGAAAACAGTAATTGAAAAATAAAACTCCCTCTATTTCATAAAACGGTTCCTATTTTGACTTTTAGGAGAAATAAGGACTGTATATTTGTTGTTGACAATCCCATTTTGCCCTTGATGTGATGGGTAAAAGTAAGATGTGATGGGTAGATTATTAGTGGAAAAAGTATGATGTGTTATGTAGGGTAAGAAAAAATAGGGGTAAAAGTGGTTTTTTAATAGAAAGTAGAAGTGTTTTAGGCATAACAAAGAAAATGTAAGAGGAAGTGTTTTAAGAAACAGAGGGAGTACTTTTTACTCTTAGATGTACAAAGATTAGATGCCTTGGATTTCATTTTTACTGTTTTAGTCGTCCATCCTCGAAGTGCATTGTATCCAGCTGTTTGCATTAGATATGTACAATAGATCAAAATAGGCTAACCAAATAAAAAAAATGAAAACCTCTATTCCAAACTAATCTTGAGAAAGTCATGCATGGAAGTAATATTAAATTATTGATCTTTTCTCAGGAACAGGCTGATCTATATGTCAACATTTCCCACATATAAATGTGTCTTGAGTCTTGATACATGTCAAAATGTGATCTTTGTTTTCCGTGTGAACTGCATAGTGTCAGAAGCTGAGGGGAGGAACAAGCGTATTCAATTCCAAACCAAGAGTTGTATGAGCAATTGTGGCAGTTTCAGTGGGTGGCCGTTAAGAGTTTCTTGATGGTTTGCTGATGGACGCGGGAATTCAGGTGGTTATATTTGGAGTTGTCTGGAGAACTAAGATTTCTTAATGTGTTTTGAAGTTTATTACTTTTATGCTAAAAAAAGGTGTTTGTTTGTTTGTTTGTTTGTTTTACAACAGTTGTGCGTTAAATTTTTTTTGAAATGGATGTTTTAAAAATGTTGTTTTTAAAGCCAAACTGCTGATATTGTTTGTGATAGTCATTTTTTAGTCTGATACAAATGTAGCACTGTTGTTTAAGCTAGAAATATTAGTACCCCCTCCAAAAAGGTGTACCTGTTTTTTTTATTTGGTCCCATTTTTTTTGTTTATATATACTATGAATTTGACATTTTATTATTCTTATCACTTAACTGTGTTGCAAGATTATAAGATTTGCAGTCCTTAAAATGTCATATCAGGTGGGCGTCAAGCCGTCAAGAAAGAAAGGCATCACTAGTTAAATTGTTTAATGGCCTTTCCCACAATGAAGTTTATGTCTTAACATTTGTTTTGAAAAATAAAATGTGAGTAATTAAAATTTGTTTTGAAGAAATGAAAAAATGGGAGCTATATTTTTAAATTGAAAAAGTGAAGTGTTAATTTTGTTGCGGAATGTCTAAACAAAAGGAGTATAAATTTCTCAATTATCAAACTATATTAATCTCTAATTATCTTTTATTCTTCGTTACCTACTTTAAGCTGACCTTAATCCATTTCCCAAAGGCAGGTTAGACCTCGGCAAATATTGACTATTTGATTTTTAATCTTTTCTAGGGAATTACCTTAATATAAATTGATACGGAGTAAAAAACTTTTATCATTAACAAAAAATTTAAATATAATTCTACCAATTGTTGTTGTGATGGAAAGTGCACAATGTTGAATAGTTGACTATCTTCTACTACATGGACTTGTCATTTTAGATTAACTTAAACTATGACTTGAAGTTTATTACCATGAATCATAGACATGAACAAAAAATGATATTGTTCTGTATATGTATGTATGGATAGTATGCGTTTGAAATGTTTTTTAATGACCCATATTAGTACAACTACACTACTTTGGCGAAAATATTAGAGTACTTTTTAGATATATTGAATGCAAAAGTTAAAATGCTAAGAATAATTAACATATGAAATAATATTTAAATTTTTTGTTAATGATAAAAGTTTTTTATCAATTTATATTGTGGTAATTCCCAAGATAAGATTAAAATATATAGAGTGCTCAAAGTATTACTCCGTATATAATTAATGAATCTAAATTTACATAAATATATGCAAATGCTCTTTTCATAATGTTAGGGTATTATTTAATTAATGAACTAATACTCCCCCGTCCCAAATTATAATGTCTGTTCACTATTCACAGGGTCAAACTTCATTCACTTTTTTTCTCTATTTTTGTTAGCAATTTGATAAAATAAAATATTGTTGTCACTACTAGTTTTGTAGATCTTTTGATGTAGTATTTTGATATGTAATTTTTATTTTTTAACTCTATACCATTTGTCATATAAAATGATTTAAAAATAACTTCAGTCAAACATCGTAAACCGAAACAGGCGTTATAAAATGAGACGGAGGGAGTATTTACGTAAATATATGCAAATGCTCTTTACAACAACAACAATAACCCAATTGAATCCCACAAAAATAAAGTTTTAAAAGGGTGTGTTACACTAAAATAGTTTTGAATTTTTATTTCAAACACAACACATTTTAATTTTTAAAAAAGAAACTTTTCATTACCACACGAACAAATAAAATCTGGGAGTGTAGGGTCCCACAAACAACAATGAGACTCAACATGTCGAACTAATTTATGAGCAATAACATTAAAATTTAAAACCAAGCCTAACAAATGAAAAGGAAACAAAGTGAAAGTCACTCGATATCAAGCTGCAATCATCAATAAGAGCACCAAAATAGGAAGAAGACCAAAAAGACTCATATGTTAGACTGTTTACCATTGCCATGCAATTTGAAGAAGTTCAACCTCTCTCACGCCTCTCGCCTTTAGCCATATCAAAGCCTCCCCCCACACGCAATGACCTTCGCTATCTGAGGATCGTAAGGAACAAGGAAAAACAGTTTTAAAAAAAGAATTAAAAACATTCATGAAAAAAGATAAAAAAAGAAAAGAGGCCCATTTCTAAACAATGGCAAATTATACGGTACAACTGGTTGTACCATTTTTGGAGTACAACCGGCAATTAGATCGGATGAGAGGCGCATCGATGAAAGGGAGGCCGAAAATTGGATGACGTGTAGCAGTCGACGACAAGTGAAGGTGGTGGTGGCGGCTCGGCGACCATAGCCGACGACTCTTCTGTAGAAGATGGAGGTCGCCCCCTTCTCGTTGTCCTATTTGCTGGTAGCGCTAACATTGATTGAAGATGGAGGATATGAGGAGTTGTCGATAGCTTCATTCTATTGAAGAAGAAAACAGAGATGGCTGCGCCCCGTGGGTCAAGAAGAACTCCCAATTTATGTTTAGTAAGTTTGTTTTAGATTTAGAATGATTATTATGTTGCTTCAAAATGAACACTACGTGATTTAAGAATTGACATTACATTACTCGTAAATGAGTATTATAATTGTTATGAACAAATGTGTTAAAATGAAACATACAAAGATGGTTGCCTTGCCCCATGGGTCAAGATTCAAGAACTCCCTATTTATGTATAGTGAGTTGTTTTAGATTTAGAATGAGTATTATGTTACTTCAGAATGAATACTACGTGATTTGAGAATGAACACTATATTACTCGTAAATGAGTATTATAATTGTAATGAACAAATGTGTTAAAATTAAACACTATATTGTTTCAGAATGAGTACTATATTGATTCAAAATGAACACCACATTCTTTTTAAATGAATACTCTTTTTACTCCAAAATGAACATTTTTACTTTGTGCGAAAATTAGTACTCCCTCCGTCCCAAATTATAATGCCTGTTTACTATTCACAGGGTCAAACTTCATTCACCTTCTTTCTATATTTTCGTTAGCAAATTGATAAAATAAAATATTGTTGTCACTACTAGTTTTGTAGATCTTTTGATGTAGTAATTTGATATGTAATTTTTATTTTTTAATTCTATACCATTTGTCATATAAAATGATTTGAAAATAACTTTAGTCAAACATCGTAAACCGAAACAGGCGTTATAAAATGGGACAGATGGAGTACTACTTTAGTCCAAAATGATAGAGGGAGACTAGGGAAGGAATAGAAGGAGAAGAAGGAGATGGGGTTGAGGGCAGAAGGAGGCCGTACGGCCGAGGGAGGCGAGCCAGAGAATAGGGTTTTAGAGATGGTTTATTTCTTAATGATTGAGAAGGAGGCTTACATCTCTATTTATAATTATAGAGTAAAACCCTAACCCTAAAATACTACGTTATCTATCCTGACGGTTCAAGGAAAAGCGACGAGGTAAAGAACCGTAAAGAAACCCTCGAAGGAGCTTATATTTTGCTCACCTAATAAAAATCTAAATTACAATGAATAATTTAATAAAGGTAATCATTTAATTTTGCCGGGGGTTTGGGGATCCGTTTAGAACGCCTTGGCCCAATGCTTCCTTCACGTTCACTCTCGGCCCGAACACTCGCATCTTCGTTCCGAACATCTTCCAACTCTGGCCCGATATTTGTATCCCCCCGGTAGTGTAACATTATCCCCCCCATGAAGAACATCCTTGTCCTCAAGGACTAGCGTCGGATAAACCTGCCGGAGGTGCGTCACAGGTTCCCACGTGGCGTCGCTCTCCCCACCATCAGACCAGACGACCAACCATTGGTCTTGCGGTTCGCCATGCACAAGAACCCGGCGAGACCCAATAGCACGAACAGGGACGGACACCGGAGCACCATTGCAGAAGTCCTTGGGAAAAACAGTGATTGGTGGGGTGGCAGTACCTCTCACAAATGGCCGAAGGAGCGAGACGTGAAAAACGTTGTGAATACGAGCCTCGTCCGGAAGCTTCAGTTGATATGCCACCTACCCCACCCTGGCCAGTACCTCAAATGGGCCATAAAAACGGCGTGCAAGTTTGGCCGATCTTGGTTTCGCCACCGAAAACTGCATGTGCGGTTGGAGCTTGAGCAACACAAGATCCCCCACTTGAAATTCAACGTGACGTCGATGTTTATTGGCCGTGGCAACCATCCGCTGCTGCATGCTGATGAGATTCTTCCGCAATAACCGAATCACAGCCCCCCGCTCTTGAAGTAAGGCCTCGACACTTGGGACGCGGCTACTGCCCGTCGTATGTGAGAGCAAAGGCGGAGGATCTCGGCCATATAAAGCCTTGAACGGTGACGTTTTCAGCCCCGCGTGATAAGTGGAATTCAACGCCAATTCTGCCCACGGAAGGAAGGACACCCACGTAGACGGACGCTCATGACAGTAGGCCCGCAAGTACTGCTCCAGATCCCGGTTACAAACCTCCGTCTGACCGTCAGATTGAGGATGGTATGCTGTGCTGCGTTTAAGAGTTGTGCCACTTAGCCGAAAGAGTTCTTTCCAAAAATTGCTGATGAAAATGGGATCCCTATCGGAGACAATGGATGCCGGAAACCCGTGGTGACGAACTACAATCTCGACGAACAAGGAAGCAGCCTTGGCAGCATCAAAGGAGGTCGGCAGTGGGCCAAAATGCCCGTACTTTGTCAACCTGTCCACAACCACCATGATTGACGTCATGCCCTTCGACGGCGGTAAGCCCACTATAAAATCCATCGTCACGTCATCCCACACACGACCGGGAACCGGTAAGGGTTGCAACAGACCCCCTGGTTTTTGAGTCGAATATTTGGTTGCCTGGCATGTGAGACACGAGGCGACAAAAGCTGCGATATCCCGGCGCATATGGGGCCAAAAGAAAACAGCCGCCACACGGCGAAAAGTGCGTTCAATCCCCGGATGGCCTGTGCTCGGTGAGGAGTGGAATTCCTGTAGAATCTCGCCCTTGAGGTTGGATGTAGTGCTTAAACACACGCGATGATGATAGTAAAGAATGCCATTATGTACCGAATAGGGGGCGCTGAGTGTTCCACTAGTTGCGGCCGTGTGAAGGGCAACCGGATCCGACATGGAAGAGTTTTCTGACCGCACCCTATCAAGGAGTTTGGGCAGTGGCTGAGCATAGAGGGTGAATAGAACCGCTGTATCATCTGACTCCTCCCGTCGGGAAAGGGCATCGGCCACCCTGTTAGAGGCCCCGGTCTTATACTCGATGCGAAACTTATATCCCATGAGCTTGCGAATATAGAATTGCTGGTCCGGGGTTTGTACAACTTGAAACAAAAGCTCTTTAAGACTTCGTTGATCCGTCCGAATGATGAATTCCCGACCCAATAAATATTGTCGCCATTTGTGCACTGATTCCACGATGGCATATAACTCCTTATGATAAGTAGAGGCAAGCCGACGCCGAGGACCAAATTTCTTGCTAAAGTATGCAATGGGATGATCGTCCTGTAGCAACACCGCACCCGCGCCGGCATCGGAGGCATCAGTTTCCAAAACAAAAATTTTAGTGAAGTCCGGCAGCTGCAAAACTGGCGGCTGCATAATCACAGTTTTGAGCCGCTGGAATGCCTCTGTCGCATCCTTCGACCATTGAAATCCATCCTTTTTTAACAGCTCGGACAAAGGTGCCGCCAAGGTAGCATACCCACGAATAAAACGGCGGTAGTATCCTGTTAAACCGAGGAAGCCGCGGAGTTGTTTTACTGTTTTTGGGTTCGGCCAAGAAGCCACGACCTCCAGCTTGGCGGGGTCAGCCTTCAACGTCCCCTCCGAAATCCAATGACCGAGGTAGTCCACCTTTGCCTGGGCAAAACTACATTTACTCAATTTAACAAAGAAATGATTAGTAGCCAAAATACCCAAAACCAAATTTAAGTGAGAAGCATGAAGGTCCAACGTAGGGCTGTAAACCAAAATATCATCAAAGAACACGATGACAAACTGACGAAGATAGGGAGCAAACACATGATTCATTGCGGCTTGGAAAGTAGACGGAGCATTAGTGAGGCCAAACGGCATAACCAGAAATTCGTAGTGACCCTCGTGTGTTCTGAACGCCGTCTTAAAGGTGTCTTCTGCATGCATCCGGATTTGATGGTAACCGGAGCGAAGATCGAGCTTGGTGAACAGGCGCGCCTGGCCGAGTTCATCAAAGAGCTCATCCGCGGTGGGAATGGGAAACTTATCGGCGACCGTGACTGCATTCAATGCCCGGTAGTCGACGCAAAAATGGAACGATCCATCCTTCTTTTTCACTAGTAAGGCCGGAGAGGAGAATGGACTCCGGCTGTGTTGAATCAAACCCTGGGTCAACATCTCTCGCACCTGCTTCTCGAGCTCGGTCTTCTGAAAATAGGGGTACCGGTACGGCCGAACATTAACCGGCGGAGAACCCGATTGAAGATGGATTTTGTGGTCCCAAATGCGTGGTGGTGGGAGACCTTCGGGAACCTGGAAAACCTGTGCATGTCGTGTGAGTACTGCCATTACCGCGGACGGGATATCCGGAGGCCATGCAAGGGTTTGCGGTCCATTTTCAGGCTGGCCCGAGGAGAGGAGATACACCTCGTACACTGCCGTAATCTCCCGAGAACCGTGGAGGGTGTGCATGGCATTATATGAAAGACCTTGTGGTGTGTGGGTATCCCCACGTAAGGTCACCACCGAATCCCCCTGCCGGAACTCCAATGTCAAGTTGGCATAATCCTGCGAAATCTTGCCCAAGCTTTGGAGCCATTGGACACCCAAAACAACGTCCGTACCATGAATGGAGAGCACGAACAGATCCGAGAGAATATCATGGCCTTGAATTGTTAAGCGGATGTTGACAGACTTGTGAGTACATGCTAACGACGCCCCGTTACCCACATAAACTCGGAACGGCGGAATAGGCTCCAAAGGTAATCGCAGCGACTCGGCCACCTGGGGATGGATAAAGTTATGCGTACTACCACCATCTATTAGTATCTGGATAGTGCGCCCCAGAATGCGGCCGGACAGCCGTAACGCCCGCGGATTAGGCGCTCCAGCGAGAGAATGCATGCATGAGACATCCCCGGTGAGGAGGGGTTCCTCGTCGGCCTGGTGCTCCACGGGTTCCACCGGCTCCTCATCGTCTGTCCCTAATAAAGCAAGAAAGCGATGAGCACAACGGTGGCCGGCTGTAAATTTCTCATCACAATTCCAACAGAGGCCTTGGGCGGAGCGGGCAGCGCGATCAGCCGGGGAGAGGCGACGAACAGGCAAGGCCGTGGGGACTGTTGGCGCCTGTGTGACCGCTGATTTCGGAGGTATCGAACTAGAGGCAGGGTTGGGTTGCCACGATCGCCGCTGTCCGGCAGAGATACTCGCCAGTGTCTCGCTATGGTTGGCGTCCAACTCGCGGGCGAGTGCAAAAGTCTGTCCCAAGGATGTTGGTGCCCGTAAGTTGACCTCACGACGGATCGCAGGTTTCAAACCACCCTTAAAAATGGAAATTAGCGTGGGTTCGGAGACGCCAGAGATTATATTCAACAATCGTTCGAAAGCCGTTTGATAATCAAGGACGGAAGTCCGCTGCTGCAATTTAGAAAGGAGAGCCACGTAATCTTCATAATGGGCCGGATCAAAGCGTTGCTTTACTGCCTCCAAAAATTCCGACCATGATGTGAGCAGGCCATTATTGTGCTGGTACAAGAACCAATCCGAAGCGGGATGATCAAATAGAAGACCCACGAGACGTAGGCGGTCGGCTTCGGGGGTGTGGAAGTAATCAAAGTATGATTGGGCTTTGTAAACCCAACCATTCGGATCAGTTCCATTGAACTTAGGAGCATCCACACGAACTTTGGGCGGACGAATCTCATGGCCGGGGCGCTTGTCGTGGGGCTGAACCGGGTGATCCCTGTCAAATGGATCGCCGATGCCCGTGGGATCTGGTGGATGTCGTGGGCCCAACAGCCCCTTACCTTTAGCCGCTGCGACGGACCCGGAATCCAAGATGGAATATACTTGGTCCACCCGTTGAGAAAGGGCAGCATGTTCCAGTCGCGCCGTGCGAAACTCCAGCATGAGAGCCAACTGCTCCTCGCGGTGAGAACGGAGTTCCAATGCAAGATTTTGTATAGCGGTGACAACTTCGTCACCCGACGATGCAGTGGGGATGGGCGTTGGTTCGCTCATGGTGAAGGAGGCTTGGAGTGCAGGGATGAAAGCACCAGTTGATAGAGGGAGACTAGGGAAGGAATAGAAGGAGAAGAAGGAGATGGGGTTGAGGGCAGAAGGAGGCCGTACGGCCGAGGGAGGCAAGCCAGAGAATAGGGTTTTAGAGATGGTTTATTTCTTAATGATTGAGAAGGAGGCTTACATCTCTATTTATAATTATAGAGTAAAACCCTAACCCTAAAATACTACGTTATCTATCCTGACGGTTCAAGGAAAAGCGACGAGGTAAAGAACCGTAAAGAAACCCTCGAAGGAGCTTATATTTTGCTCACCTA